CATTTGCCCCCCCCCCCCCCCCCCCCCCACACACACACACCTTTCATGCCTGCTCCAGTCAAAGTTTAAAACCAACTGTCTGGCCATGAAAGCAGCATTTCTATCCAGGCAGCAGTGAGAGCATCAATGGACTTCACGGCCCATTATAATTCACCTGCTTCCTTCTCCGCACCTCCCTCCACGGGTGTTAACGACCCTCTTTCTGTTTTCTGTTTTATTTTTAAATGGAGAAAAATAGGTGGTGTTTTATACGTGATAATGCATCTCCCCACACGCACCCCCCTTTTTCAAGACAATAGATCCACCCTCACGGGTGGCTGCAGCGTTAAAGACGGTGCAGAGGGGGAGAAGGGCAGAGGCTGGCAGGAGAGGCTGCGAAACGGGTTGGGTACCACGCGGCTGGTCTGCCATTGGCTCGGGTTGGGTGGCACGGCCAGTTTCATAGATTCATAGATTCATAGATTAAGGGTTGCGGGACTCTGCAGCGCTGCTTGTAACGTGTGCAAGCGCCTGCAGAGCGTGAGATGCGCAAACTGTTTAACGAGCCGTGAGAGGCTTTGCTGCAATGCCTGGAGAGCGGGAGATGCACCGGGAACGCCCCGGGTTGGAGGGCGCAGGCGGGGTGAGGATGGTGGGGCCGTGCCCTTGGGGAGAACGAAGGCTGCCTTGGAAATGGGGCATGGGATTGAGAATAAGGAGCCTTATTCCAGGTTAATGCTTCGTAGCTCAGTAAGTGTGGGGGGGCCTGCTGTTTGCTGTTAACCCCCAAGAAGCATGACTCTGTTGACAGCTGCATCTCCAGTTGCTTTGTCCTGAAAGACACTGGAAATCCCTGGAACCGTAGCCACGCCAAGGCCTGAACACGTTGTCCTCAGCCTTGTTTACAGCCCCCCCGGCCCTCCAGAGGGGCGATTGCTCACTCTCACATGTGACAGGCAGCAGTTCAGCTGGAAACTTGACCCTTCCCAACTGGTTTTGCTCAACCGGGGCCCATGTGACCCTGAGATAAATTATAAATAGACACCTAAGAGGAGCCGCAGACAAAGGCAGGAGCCAGGCTTCAGTTTTAGGGAAGGAGCAAGACTTTGGTCTCTGAAACCCAGCCCAGGGGAAAAACCGGGACCGAGCCAAAGCAGCAAACTCGGGAGCCAGCCGCCCCGCTGTGGATTTAACCCGGAGGAGCACTATGGATTACGAACCCAGCATCATCCGGGACTCGAACCCCATGGAGAACCTGGAGAAGCAGCTCATCTGCCCCATCTGTCTGGAGATGTTCACCAAGCCCGTGGTGATCCTGCCTTGCCAGCACAACCTGTGTCGGAAATGTGCCAGCGACGTCTTCCAGGTCAGTGGCCAGGCTAGGAAAGGGCAGGTCCCCCCGCCCCGCGTCCGCCAGGGAGTTCGGAGCGGAGCAAGTCGCTGCTACGGGGTCGGGAGAGCTGAATGAGGGGAGGGAGAGGGCTGGGGCTCCCTGAATGGCCCCTACCAGGGGGTCTTCTGATCCCACAGCAAGCCACATCGACCCGCTCCAGAAAGTCCGTTTCTCAGTAGCGTTGGCTGCACTCAAGGCATGGCTCATCCGTCCTGCTTGCGGGCGCATCCATGGAGCCCCGCAATTTGCAGGGTGCCCGTCGCTAGGATGCTGGTGCCACGGAGCCAGGGGAGGATTCACCTTGGCGGTATGGGGGCTGAGACCCGTAACCTCTGAGCCCACCGAGTCCCCATGTCTCCTGGAGCCATGGCCATCCCGCTGCCCGCGAGCAGAGGACCCCTGGACAGGCCCCAGCTGATAAAGCCGTCAGCGCCGCGTTCCCCGCTCACCGAGCGGCGCGGCACTTGTCAAATCTCAGCGATAAAGAGAAGGCGGGGGCGGGGGGGAGGGCAGAAATCGGAGCCCGCGGCTGCAACGGACCAGGGCCTGCCGGCTTTGTGGGGTGGGGGCGGCCGCGGGCAGGGCCAGGGCTGTCAAGGATGGTTTATAACTAACAGTTGGTGCATGGTGAGGAGGGAAAGGCAGCATCCCACCAGGCTGGCAGCCACCTGCCGCCGCGGCTCAGGCCTTCGGGGGGTGGGTAAAGCAGCTGTGGAGGTACCCGGACCGCGTGAGCCTGGGAGAGTCGTTCCCCTGCCTCGGTTTCCCCAGTGTGGAGCTAATAGCAGTGCCCCCCTCGTGGCTCGGATGGAAGGGGCGGACAAAAGTACAAATCGTTGTGGGAGGCGCGGCGGGATGCTGGCGCGGACAGCGCGGCTGTCTCGGCCGTGGCGGGGATGTCGCGGGGGGGACTGCGTGCGCCGGGGTCCCTGACTCGGCCCTCTCCCCGCAGGCCGCCAACCCCTACTGGCAGAACCGGGGGACCGTCATCTCAGGGGGCCGCTTCCGCTGCCCCTCCTGCCGCCACGAGGTGATCCTGGACCGCCACGGCGTCTACGGCCTGCAGAGGAACCTGCTGGTGGAGAACATCATCGACATCTACAAGCAGGAGTACTCCAGGTTTGCCCCACCGCCCTCGCCTCCCAGGGCAGATGCGCCCCCCAGCCTCACGGGGGGGTCTGATGGGGGAAATGTCCTCGAGCCGACTGCTTTTCAGGGCACGTTGTGTCCGTCACCAATCTGCCTCTTTTGGGCCTTGCCTCCCGCAGGCCGTGTGGGGTAGGATGAGTAGGAGCTCAGGTGACTCCAGTAGGATGAGATGTCACACCTCCACCGTGCTCTACATCAGATCGTCCCCCCCCTCCCGATCGCACCAAGCAGGCATTGTGGGCTGACACGATCGTCCCTTCACCTTGCAATACTGGAGCCTTGGGAACTAAGCTGGCCAGTGATGCTTGGGGAGAGACTCTTCTTCTGGCAGTAGCCTGTTAGCTTGCTTTCCCAGATCCTCAGCACGTTAGGGGCAGGGAGAACCAGAGAAATACGCCCAGGGGCTGGGTTTGCAGAGAACGGCACGGCAACGCTGCTGGGTTTCTGGAGAGCAGGCTCTGGAGGTTGCCAAAACCGAGAGAGATTCCAGCCGGAGATCGGTCTCTGCTCAGGCCTGCAGACACGAAGCACAAATACATCCCTACCCCAGCCAGCCAACAACCTTTCTCCCCCACAAAAGTAAAACCAGTCCAAGGGACTGGAAAGAGCTGTGCTGGTTTCCAGAGGAGCCGGTCAAGCACTGAAGTGGAGATAGGAAATCTGTCCTGGATGGAAAGACGGGAGCGTTGTGCCCGGCAGCTTGCAGGGGGAAAGGCAAGGGCAGTAGGCTGATGCCAATCCAGAGGGGCTGAAGGGAATTACAGGAGAGAGAAAATAGATCCATTCATAAACAAGGCAGGGAGCAAACACAATGAGGTTTCCACCATGGCCAAAGCCCCAGCCCGGTCTTGGCTGGTACAATGTGATCTAAGCCAGAGCTATGCAGCGGGGAGGCATGCAGGACCCCGGGCAGGGGACTCGGAAACCACGTGTTTATAAGCCAGCAGGTGCAGCCTGGAGGCCGAGGTCTTAAGGGAATTAACTCATGAATCTACTGAATCACTGTAAATATTATTGTAAAGTCATGGGGATGGGGCAGAGGTGATGCGATGGCAGGTCTGGTGCCCATGGAAAAGCCGCATTAGCAGATCCCTTTGAGCTTTGAGGGTGAAACAATGGGGCACACTTTCGGTACGGAGGAGGGAACAGGCCCAGATCGACTCCATCCCTCTTAATCACTTTGTGCAATTAGGAGAGCTAGAGAGAGGCAGATACAGTGCGGTCGATAGAGCGAGCGAGAGCCCCGCCTGGGCTCACCACAGCAAAATTCGTCTAGCTGGGCCTATGTACAGCACTTGAGGACATGGCTTGTGCTCTCCAGTTCCCCCTTGAGAGATACCGTATTTTCTCACATCCAAAGACCAGCTGCTGGAAATTGCGCTGCACATTATATGCAAGAAGTACGGTAAGAGCAGTTTCTGCCTCACAGGCAAAGACAAAAGTCAAATCTGCGCTCCAGGAGCAAAGCAAGGAGCAGACTTGGCTCCCTGGAAGCTGCTGCTCAGGCACTGACTACAAAGGAAGATCTTTATTATTTCATTCGGCCTTTCAAAAACAAGAGGCATGTTTTATTCCGGAGCGTGTCGTATGTGAGATAATATGGAAATTCACACCCGCCTGGCTCTGAGCACAGATCAAAAGCTGGCCAAGGGGGCACGGCTGGCCGGTCGCGCAGAATGGCAAGGGCAGAGCTGGGGTGATGGGGGCATCAGATCTCACAGCGCTGGTCTGGCATTCGTTACTGAGATGGATTATTTATCGAAGGAGCATGCAGAGGCCTCAGCCAAGGCTGACCTGCCATCGTGCTGGGCGCTATGCAAACACACCAGGAGACGTGGCCTCTGCTCCAAAACATTTATCATCTAAATAATCCAAGCAGATGAAGGGAGGGCTGAAGAGAGGGGCTCCGAGCTCCCAGGATGGCTTCACAAGCCTCTCATGATTTTGTCCCTAAAGTCCCAACTCCCGGGGTCGGTGATGCCGTAGGAATCCAATTGCTATTTTTATTAACATGAATTTTCAAGAGAAAAGCTGGAAAACAGGTCCCTCGATGCCTCCAGAACCAGAAACCACAGAAAAACACTGCCCAGATTTACCAAGTTTACGCCTGTCTCCATGTTCCCAGGGCAGGAGGTGTGATGCTCTGAGTGCAGAGGGGTGGCCAGGGTTGACTTGATTTAACTCCCTTCTCTCCGCTCCAGTCACGTTACCTATAAAAGGGGAAGCTGACCAAAGGGGCCACGGCTCAACTGCCCGTGTTTAAATATACCCTGGGCTCCTGCAGAAGGAAATAAAGATCTAGCGGCACCCTGAGTTGGCCTTAAAGAGGCGGGAGGAGCCTCTATCTTGACGGCACTCTGTGTCTATAATTAGGGGATTCTGCATCCTCCCTGAATCTTGGACCAAGGCACCAGGGACTTAATCATCCTAGTGGATCCAGTCACCTCTATGGCTTGCTCTGCGCTGGCGGGGGGTAGAGCAGAGTGATGCCTGCCGGGAGGTGGTAAGCTCAGAGACACGAGTTTAAACGCTTTAAGTGGTGGCAAGAAGGACCGCTGGCAGGTGGCACCACTGGACAGGGCTGTCTAGTCCTGACCCTTCCCTTCATTAGCACCACGGGCAGACAGAACCGGCCTCCCGGGCGCTGGACACAGCATCGCAGTGGTGAAAATGAGACCCAGATCTAGCCCCATCCCTCCGAGCCGGGGCTGGAGAGGCTGGGGCTGGGGGAGGTTCAACCGCACTGAGACCCTGGCACGGGCTTTGGGCTCATGCCACAGCTCAGTCCTAGGCCCGGGTGCCCGTGCTGCTAACGCCTGCCTTCTTTCCCTGCAGCAGGCCCCTGAAGAAGGGCAAGCACCCCATGTGCAAGGAGCACGAGGACGAGAAGATCAACATCTACTGCCTGACCTGCGAGGTGCCCACCTGCTCCATGTGCAAGGTCTTTGGGGCTCACAAGGACTGCGAAGTCGCCCCGCTGCAGAACGTCTTCCAGGGACAGAAGGTACCGGCAGCCCTGGGGGCCGGGGAGCAGCCAGAGGCCAAGGGATGCCCTGCCTTGTCCCTCGAGGGGTTCCCGTCCGGTCCCCTGGGACATTGATTGAGCTCCAGGGCTGGGGGAGGCTCTGCTGGAGACACCCGAGAGGTGCTGAGCTGTGCCTTTCGGGAATAGCTCCGGAGCCCCGTCACCGGGGTATTCATAGCCGTGTGTGGAGAAGTCACCTTCTATACTTAGAGCCCCTCACGAGGCCAGCGCTGGCTCCAGGGGAGCGGGCTCTCCAGCGGGAGCAGGCACCTGGGAAGGAAGGAATTGCTTGAACAGGGGCCACATACGGCAGGGTCTCTCCCGGCTTGCACCATGGCACCCCTTGCTCTGCGCACTGGGTTCGGGGGAGTCTGAGAGCCCTGGGCAGAGACAAACCTGATCGATCCTGGTGTCCACACCCGGGGGGACCAGGCCTCCCCCCGCAGGCCGCCGTTACCCCCACCATCCTCCTGCCCCCCTCCCCAAAGAGATCAGCAGGAGGGCTGAAGCCACCTCTATTTCTGTCCTCCCTCGCAGACCGAGCTGAGCAACTGCATCTCCATGCTGGTGGCGGGGAATGACAGGGTGCAGACGATCATCAACCAGCTGGAGGAGTCCTGCCGCGCCACTGAGGTGAGGCACGGGGAAAACGCGTGAGCCCGCGGAAACCCGAGCGGCCCCGGAGAAACCCGACCCTGAGCCAGCTAGCGTGGGCGTTGGGTGCTCGGGCCTGTCCCTGAGAGAAAAGCACACGAGGAGGCAGAGAGCACCCAGGAGGCCTGGCTTCCAGCTCCTCCTTTTAAGTCTCAGATTCAGAGTCTCTTACGAGTCAAAGTGGGGATTACTTTCCCCCTCCCCGGTGGCTTGCACCAGGCAGCCCACGCCATGCCCACCCCGTAGAGGTTGCCTCCCTCGGGGCTCCTCTGGGGCCGGGAGCTGGGCTCGGGGCACGTATCAGCAGGCGCGAAGGAGTGTCTGAGGCACAGCAGTGAGGTGCCCTGCTGCACGGTGAGGTCTGGGAGCAGTGCCCGCTCCTCCCCGGCCAGCCGGGCACTCATGCTCCGCTTCCTCGGCAGGAGAACAGCCAGCGGGTGCGGCAGGAGCTGTGTGAGAAGTTTGACGCCCTGGCCGCCGTCCTGGAGGAGAAGAAGAACGAGCTGCTGCAGCGCATCACCGCGGTGCTGGAGCACAAGACCGGCTTCCTCCAGGCCCTGGTGCAGAAGTACAAGGAGCAGCTGGAGAAGTCCAGCAAGCTAGTGGAGACGGCCTTCCAGTCCATGGAGGAGACCGGAGGTGCCACCTTCCTCATGGTGAGCAGCATGTGCCACCGGGCCTAGGGGACGGGCACTGACGGGAGCCTGGGTCTAGCCGTGCTGCCCGTCCCCATCCAGGGAGATTCCCCCACCTGCCAGATCGTGTCTCCTTTCAACCCAAGCCAGCAGCCGCTGGCCGTGCCCTCTGCTACCGCAGCCAGCTGCCAAGCTCCAGCCTAGCGAAAGGGAGCTCCCCGGAGCAGCTGGGCGACATGCTCCTCCAGGCTGCCCCACATCCCCGACCCTTCCCACGACTGATATCCAGCGGGTGCCAGCTCCCCCCTGCCGCTTTCACAGCCCTCCAGGCCTGTTCTGCTCACCCGTTCTCTCTCTCTCTCTCTCTTCCCCCACAGAACGCCAAGAAGCTCATTAAAACGTAAGTCCCCAGGACACATTAGCGAGCCGCTACCTCGGTGCCACACTCGTTGTCCCAGCAAAGTCAGCGTCCCCCGAGGGAGCTTCAGTTCCTGGGGGAGCCCTTATCAGGGTGCAGCTTAAACACCAGACTCCTTGAAAACCGACCCAAGAGCATGCGCGGCACTGCTGTGCGGTGTCTCCGTTGCAATACCCCAGCCAGCACGAAAGCGGGACAGGGCGGGAGGCTTGAGGGCCATGGGGCTGTTCTGCTGAGTCCATCTGAGTCCCTGGACCATGTCAGCTCCCCCCCGGACCCGTGAGAGAGGCCCATGAGCGCGCTTTAAATTGGTTTGTAAATGGCTTTAGTCTAACCAGTGACCAGGGCTCTGCGGGCGGTGGTTTCAGTCCGGCTGAAATGGGTTCCCAAGTGAGTTAAAGCTGAAAGGAGCTTTTTCCTGCCTCCTCCAGAATCGTGGAGGCGTCGAAGGGCGGCCTGCTGGAGAAGATCGAGGAAGGCTTTGAGAACATGGACTCCTTCAGCCTGGACCTGGAGTCCGTCATGGAAACCGTGAGGGCTATTGACTTTGAAGCAGGTATTGTCCTTCTCTGGCCCCTTCCAGAAAGCACTTTTACTGTGCTGTCCACCCAAGAGTGCTTCGCAGGCACTGATCGAGCTGAGGAGCTAGGGGAACAGGCAGGGAGCTAGGAGGACGGCCTCTAAATCACAGCTTCCTAGACCCTAAAGGCTGGAGGCTGCACATAGGAGAGGAACAGCGGGAAAAAATCCTGGGTCAGACCCTGTTCACTCTCCCCTTCAGCAACAGCTCCCTGCCGCTGTGTGACAGGAGACTGGGCAGGGTGGGCCTACGGTCTGACCCAGTCAACGGCAGTTCTTCTGTCCCATCGGACAGGGGCATCAGACCCACTTCACAGAAGGGAAAACCAAGGCGTAGGAACACCAAACCGACTCACCCAAAGCTAGGCAATAACTTGTTGACCAAGCGAAGTACAGAATCCAGGGCATGTGTCTGCACAGTCTACGGGACATCCTTCTTTCCCTAACCCCAAAGCAAATGCCGACTCGGAGGCGTGAGCGCGTCTTCTCTTGTATAAGCGCCGGGGCGGGACTGAGGGGTTCTAAATCGCACCCTTTGTGTTTGAAGATGAGGAAGAGGAGGAATTAAATGAGGAGGGAGAAGAATCAGAAGAGGAGCTGTCTCAGGAACAGACAGTCGATGGTAAGCGGAGGCGGCGGGCTGGCGAGTGGTGCAAACCCAGGGACTTGCAGCCCTCCTGGGTCAGGCCCTGCGGACAGGGGCGCCTGCTCTGCTCCTGCTGCAGCATCTTGTACCCCGCACTAAAATAGCAAGGCTCCCCTGGAGCCCCGCGGCCAGTCCTGGGCCCCGCACGTCAGGGAGGAGGTGGTCAGTTTGGGAAGAGTCCACCGCACTGCAATAAAAATGATCAGGGGCCTGGGAGGCAAGACTGATGAAGACCGGCTGCAAGAGCGAGGGCTGCGTAGTCTGGAGAAGAGCAGGTTGAGGGGGGATTTAATCATTGTCTTCACCTCCCCGGAGGGTGATGACTGAGAGGATGGGGACGGGACTTGGGGGGACCGCAGGCGACAGGACTAGGAGCCGTGGCCTCGTGCTGCAGCAGGGGAAATTCAGAGTGGAAATGAGGAGGAACTTGGTGACTCGAAGGGTGGTCGAGCATTGGGACAGGCTGCCTGGAGGAGCTGCGGGATCAGACCCGCGGTCCAGCTACGGCCGCATCCTGCCTGTGACAGCGGACGCTTTAGGGAGAGCATGGAGCTGGGTCCACCGAGTGCCCCACCCCAGTCGTTACCCCCCCTTAACGGGGTAGAGGCGCCAGAGGAAACGTCCCCACTTGTTCTGTTCAGCAGCTAGTAACGGGACAGCGCAGGAAACCCTGCTCTT